TGTTAAAAGCTGGCTGGCGTGGTTCCTATTGGCAAAGTGGTCTAATACTCAATATTTTGGGAGATTCTTTCAGTGAAATAACTATACTCTTAAGTGGCCAGAGTGGGTCCTGCTGACAAAGTGGCCCAATCAAAGTCTGTAAAGACTGTTCACTTACTACAATATTTTGGGGAGCTTTTTATAGTGAGATAAATACAGTCCTGTTATTTTAAAGTGACACTAAACACATGAGTTGAATGTTCAAAATGCATTCAAGGGGATGTGGTCTAGTAATGGCGGAGTGAAGACATGTGAAAGGTGAGCTTTACAACCCCGCTAACTTTCAGATGATCTGCCATACATTCCGATTGCTTCTCTTAAATATGCCGAGGCACAAGAAGTCGGGTCGCATGTCCTTGGCTTGATGGGACTTCGGAATCAGACTTTTTCACTCCCAGGATGAACGCCAGGAGAAGCAATATGGCGCCTTCACCCAGCAACTCCACATGGTCCATCTTGAAAGATCCTACTGCTACAATGGGAGAACATCTACAGCACTCTCTACCTTCATTGCCACTTTCTCCAGCCTCGCCTGTGTTCACAACATGTGAGACAATCTCAGTAATGGGTCCGGAGAGGCCCGCTGACTCAGGTAGAGGCGTAGGTGGGCAGAACAACTAGGGGCCGGAGGCATGTCCTTTTGTGCCTAAGGGCCCAGTCACTATCGGTTTCATTGTCCACTAAACAAGATTGGCTCCTGTTCCCTCACATCATCAACCACTCGTATGTGAGGAAACAAGGGAAATATAGGAATCCCTCTCCATTCTTTCAACCCATGCAGCTTTTGAAACCTGGATGACATAGTTGGAGGAGTCCTTGGCCAGATATAACCAATGCTTAGCTCATAACATATTGTAGCAGGATGATCTAGAGAACCAGAGTAGGAGAAACAACCTGACATTGTGGAGTATTCCCAAGGCAACCACAGCTGCTGACCTCCGCATCATGGTACAATCCATCCTCAGCAAGATCTTGGGCAGAGAACCTACTGTTGAGCTGGAGCTTGACCGTTCACAGGGTACAACATATGCTGAGGGATGAGTCTTCTGGTTCTCATGACACTCTCTGCAGAGTACATTTTTACACCATCAAAAAATAAATACTACACAAAGCTTGGGCAAATGGCCCTGTGGACTTTGACAGGGCTACTATGTATAGCCTCCCTGGTCTGTCCCGGCACACCCTGCAGATGTGGTGTCTTCTAAAACCTTTACTGGATAAAATCACGTCATTGGGGGCTTCCTATTGTTGGGGATTCCTCTTTTATATTATTGTACGCAATTGATCTGAAACTTTTTTACTCCACTCTCTGAGCCAGTTTCCAGATCTTATTGCTCTCCTGGATGCAGTCAAGATACCGATACCGGACAGCACTGATTTTGCCTTTAACATCTTCACAAACTGTAGATGTCTCTTTCGTCCACGCATTAGCGTTCTGCAAGCATCTGGTTCTTTCTGGAACTTTCTGTTTGATGTCATACTGAGGCCTTCTTTTATACCAGGATCGCAACTTATGACTTCTGTTGGGACACAGATGGCCATCTTGATCTCTTTGAGTTTGTTACACATGCCAAGATTATATCCCTTATTTTCCTGTGGTGTTGTATTTGAAGGTGATACTATCTTGTGATTCACAGATGTGCTGTGATTGTCCCTCGGAAACCTATAATTTCCAGTACAGCATGGCCATGCCACCTAGTCGTGTGACTTTGTGTATATAATATATAATATACATTTATATACCCATATTGTTTATTATAGGTTGCTATTGACAAATTTACTGTTGAGTTGTATAGGTCATTTTGCATTTCTATGTTATTATGTTTATGAGGATGGTTAGATGGGTGGTTGGGTAATTTCAGGGGATCCTAGAAGCAAGTTCAACTCTGTTTTTGGTGGGCAATGCCACTGATCCTACATGTTGGGTGGCCCCCTGGGGGGTCCCTGTGGATCCTACCTCTACCCATACAGAAAACTTTGGAGGGTGCTGTATGTCACCAATTGTATCTATCACAGCCTACTGGGAGATATTGAGACCTTCATCACATGTATTAGAGGTTACAGGTATTGTAAGGTGATGCTCCAATTGTATTTAATTCACTATTGATTAAGGGGTGTGCTGAAAAATGCCTGACTGAACTTGGAGATTTCAGATGGTCCACTCATACTTGGGGGTGACTTTAATGTAGTCCTGGACCCTTTAATTGATACTTCCAGAGGTGCATCCCACCTCTCTTACCCGCATCTCTAGGAAATTAAAAGAGCTCTCCAATCCATGGGTTTGGTGGATGCCGGCGTGTTCACCATCCCACAGATAAAGATTTTGCCTTTTATTCTTCCGCAAATCACACCTAATCCCACATTGATCTCTTGTTGATCTTGCAATGCCTATTGCCTCTGGTGCGTTCATCCTCTATAGAGACCCCAGTTGTTTCAGACCATAGCCCGGTGATGTTAGCTTTCTCCATGAGCCCAGATGTCTCTAAATCCTGGTCCTGGAGACTCAATGATTCTCTTCTCCAGGATGGTCCTTTGCTCTGTGAGTTAGAGGAATGCCTGGAATTCATCTTTAGCGAAAGCCAGGGTCCTGATGTATCCCCATTTTCCGTGTGGGTGTGCTTGTTGTCGGAGTTGCTACACCATTGTACTGTAACCAGATCTAAAGTGCAACGCTCCTTCTATGAATACGGCAACAAGCCCAGGAAATTATTAGCTAGGTCACTTAGGGAGGCCACATTAAGAACCTACGTCTCCCAAATCGTTGCTGGTGATGGCTGGAAACATGTTAAGTCTTCGGACTTTGAGTCTTGCTTCAAGGATATTTATAGTGCTTTATACATGTTTCCACAAGCATCAGAGTCACATAATGCATCCTCAGTATCAATTCACATTGAGGTCTACCTGCAATCTTCAGACATACCCAAAATTCCTGCAGAAATGGATTCTCATTTTTAAAGTTTTATTTATGAGTCTGAATTTCTCACAGCTGTCTGGACCTTGAAAAATGGTAAAGCGCCTGGGCCAGATAGCTACACAGGCAAAATGATTTAAAACTCGTGCGCCTATATTGCATCTAGATTCACGTGCGCTTTTAACATTCTTTGTGATGGTCATGCCTTTCCCATTGATACTCAGAGCCCAAATCACCGTAATCCTGAGAGAAGGTAAATAAATTTCCTCTTGTACAAATTACCAACCCATCTCCCTTTTGATTTTGGATCTCAAGCTGTTCCCTAAAATTCCATCCCTTACACTTCTCCCAGTCTTGCAATCATTGATTCATCTTGATCAAACTGGATTCCTTGATGGCAAAGAGGTCAAGAATAGCACTATGCATGTCCTCAATGCTGCTCACTTGGCAACTTCCTGCAACATCCCAATGAGCCTGATGTCAACAGACATCAAAAAGGCATTTGCCCAAGTAGACTGGTCCTTCTTGAAAGCTACTTTGAGACATACAGGTGAAACTCGAATAATTAGAATATCGTGCAAAAGTAATTGCAGTAAGTGCTGCAAAAGGGGCCCAAACCAAGTACTGAGTACATATGCATGCTTGTACTTTTCAGATGTCCGATATTGTTCTATGTACAATCCTTGTTTTATTGATTGCATGTAATATTCTACTTTTTTGAGGTTGTGGATTTGGGGTTCTTGGGGTTTTCATGAGCTGTAAGCCATAATCATCACAATTATGACAAATCACGGCTTGAACTATCTTGCTTTGCATGTAATGAGTCTATCTCATATATTAGTTTTACCTTTTAAGTTGCATTAGTGAAATAAATGAACTTTGCACGATATTCTAATTATTCGAGTTTCACCTGTATAGATCTGGGAGCTCAAATGTGTAGCTCGATTGATACTTTATATTCAACACCTACCGTGGCGGTGAGGGCAAACGAGGCAATTGCCTTTTACTTTCCCCTTTCTAATGGGACAAGTCAAGGGGGTCCTTTATCTCCATTGCTAGAGCCCTTTTTATGTCATGTCTGTAAGAACTCAACAGTTCCACCATTTCAGATCTAGTATACTCCCTCATAATAACAATATCTTGCCCCCACTCTCTGCCTTTGATTGTCTTTGTGTAGAAGGTGGCCCATCCAGGCATTCTCTCTGTTTAACATATAAACCCCTAACCACCCCTGAGGAGTCCTTTGTCCCACCTTTTCTTCTCAAGTGAATATTTGCTTGTCCTTGTCTTCTGAATGAGCTAAACAAATGTTCTATAAAACTCAGTTTTGTCAAAATTTTGGAAATTGTTTTAGTGTTCACTGAGATTGGCCCAACGAAGGACTCCTCCAGTTGCAATGCATAATGGGACTTGTATTTCCACCAACTTGTATTACTGCCAAGTTTGCCCAACCCGGCAGTAGTTAATAAATACATAATTCAAAATTCTTGTTGCATGGACTGGTACAAGTATCAGCAACAAAAAAGCAAAAATGTTTCTTGCAGGAGAAAATGTAGACAATTGTTAGAATGAAGATACATATCACATAATGTAAATGAAAGCCCACACAAAAAAAGAATTCTTGAGTTTGGGAGAATGTGGAGAAGGGTTAGATTTACAGCCACTTGCTGTAGCACTCTGACACATATGATGTCACCAGTAGAGGGACAACTGGGACACATACAGCAGTAACAACATTTCTCTATTAAAATTGTGATTTTACTGCTTTTTGTGATTTCATTAAAGATCGTTCCCTTTATTTCCTGTCACAGCAGCGAAGGAACATAAATTGATAGGAACTCTCCAGAGTATTGACACAGGACTAGTATTCCTATCAAGTATTCCACACTTTATCTAGAGGAATAGAAATTAGCTGTAAGTTTGGACTTTAAGGAACAGAGTTAGAATGACAAATATAGTGAATAATAACAGGACAAAAAGTGATATAGTATTTTACACCTTGCACAATATAATAGCTAAAACATGCTTGTAAGGAAACTGTGAAACTTACATTAGCTTGTACTATGACATAATACCGTGTCTTTTCCTCATAATTCAGCCTGCGCCGTAACACAACTGCTCCAGACAGTGTGAGGGGAATGTCAAAGGTCTGGTTGGAGGCCTAAAAAACAAATGTTAAAAATAGTATCTTTACACATGTCAATTTTACACAAATGCCCTTTTCAGCTTCCAGATTCCTTTCTTTCTATAAGTCCTTGCTTTTATATTTGTGTCCACTGCTGGTAGATGTGAAATGGATTTTCTACTATTATTCCATTCATAAATGCAGTAATAATGCTAGGACTGCAGCTAACGATTATTTTCATAATCGATTATTTAGCCCATTATTAACTTTGATTAATTGGATCAAATTTTTTAAAATATTACCGTCATTTATTTAAAATAAAATACACAAATGCAGAGTTACAGACATAAAGTTTACTTCAGAATAAAGCAGTATGCACATTTTTTGAAATGGCACTGCACTGGAACGCAGGGCATTGCAGTACCGTGTGTTCCAGTGCGTGCGATCACAATGTGGACGGGATCTGCATTTGGGTGCCATTGAAATGAATGGCACTGCAGCGCACCTCCTGCAGCAATTTTTGTCAGGCCAAAACTTAAAATGACTTTTCCTACCTATATATAGATCTATATCTATAGATCTATAGATCTGTAGATCTATAGATATAGATTTTAATTAGTTTCATGAATTTAAAATAATGTGAACTGTAAAACTCTAAGCCAATATGATAAAATAACCAAACTTATATTTAAAATATTACACCAACATTGTTTTTAGTTAATTTACTATATTGTTTTATTGGTTTGCATTTTTTATTTTACTTTAAAAAAGAAAATTGCCTTTTGCCAGATTGGCCATGGCTCCTAGCCTGTAGAAGCCAAAGAGGAATGGGTGGCAGTGGAGTCATGGGGGGTGGGGGATAGGTTGAACAGGGTGGGGTATGGGTGGAATGGGGCAGAGCATAGTTAGAATGGGGCGGGCGGAGAAGGAAGTGTGCTTGGCTGAGGAGGAACAGGATGGGCCAGTGGAGACGCGAGGCAGCAGCGGAGGAATACAGGGTCATTACAGTCTTTTCTCCCTGCTGGTGCTGGCTGCAGTGGCCTGTGTCCTCCGCTGCCTCTGCCGATACAGGCAGGAATTGAAAGGAACACAGACCGCTGCAGCCAGCACCAGCGGGGAGGAGAATGGAGGAGTAGAGCGGTGGCAACTAATCGTAAAGCAACTAATCAATGATGAGAATCGTTCCCAATAATTCCCATTATTGATTTAATCGATTTGTTGTTGCAGCCCTAAATAATACATATATATATAATTTTGACATTGGTTCATATTCTACATACAAAATGCAGCACTGTATTGAAGATATGCAGATTTTGAAGATATTATGAAAAGGTATATTTTCTTAATAGGCATACATGGTGGTGCAGGTATGGCAGGGAATCTATCTGCTTAAGGCTTTCCAGACAAAGGTATACTACCCTGAATACTTGATGTGTTGGTATCTTTGGAGAAAGTTGCACATATTTTTTTATGTGCGCTATTTTAAAGAAACCTTCAAGAATATAAGGGCAGCTAATTACCAGCAGATCTGAAACTATTGCCAACGTTCTGTCAGATGCAAATCACTCCAGTCTTTTGGAGATAAATTGCCTCATCTCAAATGGCTGATAAGATTATAATAATAAGGTGGACAGAGAGTTTACAATTTAAAATAAGAACAAGCTCAAATTCTTCACAGGTATGCAAACCATAATTGTAAATGTTATGATTGGTGTACCTGTAGTCAGCAAATGGTGATTCCTGACTGGCCTTTGTAGTTCTACGTTGATTATTTACCAAATACATTGAACAGATTTTGCCTAGAACATTAAGAGGGTTATTCACGAAGGAGCCGAAGGATCCAGCCGTAGTTCAGTAGAACCAAAGGGCTGCTGTATGGGCTATTCACAATAGCTTGTACAGCAGCTGAAGGCTGCCGAGTGGCTCAGCCGAGCCAAACGCATATGCTTCAGCTCACCTGAGCCATAGTGACAGCCGAAACGTGGAGAAAGATCACGTGGGGGGAACATCACACTTTTTTTTTCTATTTTGGGACCCTCCTAACTTTCCTACTAGACCTAGAACGTCTGGTATGGTTTGGGAGGGGAACCCCATGCTGTTTTTTTTCCGTTTTTTTTTTTGATTTTTAAAATCATTTTAACTTTTTAAATTTTTCTTTTTACAGTTATTTGTAAACAATGTTTTTCATTTGTTTACATTTTTTTCTATTCTGCTCGCAGAATAGCCACGCCGAATGCCGCTCGGCTACCTTCTGCTATTCACTCACTGCTGTTCGGCTATGAAAATAGGGGCGAGTGAGCTGCCAGAGCTTCGGCTCAGCCGATCCAGGTTTTGGATCGGCTGAGTCGAACTCATTCCGCACTACGGCTTAGCATGAGCATGTTCGGCTGACCGAAGACAACTGAGGTACGGCTGATTTTAGCCGATGTACTACTGAAATCATGTTGTTTGGCTCTGTTGCCTTTGGCTTGGTTATTCACTTGGCTGCCTTCAGCAGCTTTGTCAATAACCCCCTAAGTATGTTAGCAGTATACAATAGACAAATAGCTGAATTTATTGTATGTTCTTTATCAGGTTAACTGTAGTGGTTAAACAGAACAACACAATACCAAAAGGAAACCTCCACTAAGAGGACATGTATATAGGGATAGTGAATGCTTCTATTTTCTTATACAAATACTATGTTTCAGAGATTAAACACAATGTAACTAATGCTGTTTTGTCAGTCAGCTCTTGACAACATTGTGGGTTTGATTATTACCTGTCATAGTCAGAGGCAATATAATGCCTGCCAGCATCCACCAAAAGGCCATGAAGACCTTTTAAATCCTATTTACTTTAAAGGCTCATTGTGCTGTGTATTGTGATAAAACTGACATTCTTAAAACACATAGCAAAAAATAAATCTACATCATCTTTGAGATGGTGTATTGGAAAAATAAATTGGTTAAAGCTGATCTCCAGGCATAATCCACATTTACCACCAAACTTTCCCCACCTCTTCTAGACTATATCTCAGCATTATATGTGTATTTTACTTTGTTCCCGTAGTAAGAAACAGCTTTTAACCTCCTGCCATCCGCTCGTTGAGAAAAAATGGACGGACGCCAGACTCCCATTTTTTTCTTGCTCGCGCGCGCCCCCTGGAGCTGGTGAAGCAGATCTCTGCTTCATCAGCTTCTTTGGGGTCCCCAGGTGACATTAGGGGTCCTAGGACCTGTCAGTGAGCCTTCGCTATTATATAGGGGGATTGTTATTCCCCTATGTGAGGCTTGTAAAATTCTTGTAGGAGAAGTTGTGTAGAGAAGGCAACAGCAAGCTGTCTGATTCAGTTTCTATTTACATAGACATGTACCCCAGCACTTACAACAGTCAAACCGTTGATGGGCTAATAAAATCCATCAAAAATAATTTACATTTACCTCCTTACTAGAACAGCTCTATAAATGAAATAAATATAAGCTCTCCAAATACTCATATCTGTTTACAGAGCTGTTCTAGTATACAAATAGTAGGAAAATTGCTGATATATTCGTCTTCCCCCTTTTAGCCTACTCTTATTGCCTGGGAACATGTGTGTTTGCTATATGCCAGTAGGTGAATTGGTTGGAGCTACAATAAGCCAAGAAAACCATGTCAATAATTTAATTGATCTTATGCTCAGTTAGGAGCTAAGTTGTACTAAGCTGTGTAGGTATGGGAAGAGCTGGGTGGGGAAAGGTAGAGTCTGGTGAGGAACTAAGCAATACTGAGTTGTAACGAGCGGTGGATCTAGGTGGGCAATGTGAATGCTGTCTAGACCTCCTATGTATGAAGTGATCAGCCTACATCAACACTGTCCCAAGCAAGCTGATTAAAACAAATTAAGAGGTTTTGAGTAGACTTGTCTGCCAGAGCACAGGCAAGTCACCTGTGGTGACTTGCCCTTCCTTTGGAATATGAAGCAATGGCACATTGTGACAGCAGGATGCTAGTAGGATTGCAATAAAATGGAGCCACCCATAAAGCTCACAAAGATCACTTATGCATGATATGGCAACCTTTTAACCTGCTCTCATTGGCTGGGCACATGTGTGGTCCTAAACAGTGCTTTGCTATATGCCAGTAGATGGATTTGTTGGAGCTACCATAAGCCATGCAAACTACTGTATTTTTCCATGTATAAGACTATACTGAACTTCCGATTGCAGAGACAAGCTAAAAGGTTTCCTCCAATCATGAGCCTTATGTACCCGTCAGCTGATGCTGCGGAGCGCATGTCGCCAGTGCCCAGATGCAACAAGGAGCCCATAAAAATGTCAGAAAACAAAAAAATACCGGTACCAGTAAGCGGCTTTCTTACGCTGCAAAATTTAAACTGGATGTAATCAGTTATGCAAAAGAGCATGGAATAAATTGATTTCTGAATTTTGGGTAAGAAAAGTGGGGGGCGTCCTATACATGGGGGTGTCTTATAGACGGAAAAATACGGTATATGACTAATTATTATCCATTTCACACCATAGAAAAAAGTGAAAAACAAATTATCAAAAATCCCAGTAGACTTCCAGTAGATTTCGAAAATCTGGGGTATGTTTCCTGACACTAATATGAACTGGGGAAGTCACTTGTATGAGCAGTGAAACAGCTTCAGCATTACATACAAGTCCAATAGATTGTATCTAGCTGTACCAGCTGTACTAGCTGTACCATGATCCTCATAAATACAAATATTCACAAACAAAGGAGTATGCAACATTTGAAACCTTTAAATAGCAGTTAATAGTAAAGCAAAGAATTTACGACAGAGTACTAATGCACCAGAATCCACAAAAAAAGGAAACAAAAAAATATTATAACTGTACAGCTAGAAGCTCAGGAGTATTCAGGGCATACAAGGTCTGCATACTAACTACAAGCCAGAAGAATAAGCTAAATTGCACCTCTACGCTGCAAAATCAGATCAAAAAAGCCCTGCCAACACCCCAAATTAGTTAAGTGACCCTTAGAGGCACATTGGTAAATCCTGTTACCCACATATAGCACATAGCACTACAAGCATACACTATTCAGTGCACGCAGCACAATGATAATGTCCATCACCCCTGGTCCCAAGCACATTTTTTTTTGTTTTACAATGGTGGTTTCCCAACTTTGTTTGCTAATGGCTATAAATGAAATAAACAAATGTCTACTACCGTATATACTCGAGTATAAGCCGTCCCGAATATAAGCCGAGGTACCTAATTTTACAAAAAAAAATGGGAAAAAGTATTGACCCGAATATAAGCCGAGGGTGGGAAATGAGGCAGCTAATGGTAGATAGATACCAATAAAATTACATTAATATTTATTTAAAAGAAAAATAACCTAGCTCTGCAAGTGGAAAAGGGGGTACAGGGCTACATATCATGTACTACGGATCATTTAACCCATTCATATTAGCAGAGGATAATTGTAAATCTATTGTTCAGTGCACTCTATATGTAGTATATAGTACATGTACATATAGAGTGCCTGCAACAATACATTTACAATGATCCTCTGCTAACATGAATGGGTTAAATGATCCATAATACAGGGCTACATACAGATCATTTAATACATTCAGGTTAGTATCATTGTAAATGTATTGTCTGCACTGTATTAGCAGTATATACTCTATATAGAGTATATACTGCTAATACAGTGCAGACAATACATATACAATTGCTTAATAAATCTCTCTCCCCCCCCAATCTGCCCTCACTCACTGTGTCCGTGTGCCGGTGATCGATCATCACATCACAGAGAGAGCAGGGACGAGTCAGCGGCGCGCTGGTCCAGTGGGAGGAGCTCCAGGTGGGGTCCTAATTTAGCTGGCTCAGAGGTGCCTGCCCGCTAAATTACAACCCCACCTGGAGCTCCTCTCGCCTGATCAGC